CTGGACATCCCGAGGGGGAACGGAGCATCCCAGGCCAGGCAGCCTCTACAGCTGCCAACCCTCTCATGGAGCCCAGAATCTTCTCTTGCTCTTCCAGCCAAGGGGGAGGCCCCCTGCTTGGGAGCTTCCAGGGGCTGTGGCTTGATGGCAGCGATCTGAGAGGTATCCAGTGTTACTTGGGTGTTGCTGTGGGAACCTCACCGCTCACGGGTTACCCTTCATACTGGTGACCTTTTCTTTCGTGTCTGAGCAGGATGACATCTCAAATGTCAAGAACTTTAATTTTCACTTAGCAACGTCCCTGTGAGGTGATTTCCAGCCAACTTGGAAGCAGAAAGTTCAGGCATTTCTGAGTAGGTTGAATAATAATAAAATTTTAAAAAGGATCCTAAAACAAAATGAAAAAGGCCCCCAGAAAACCCAGACTTTCACAGATCCCCAAACCCTGTCATGCTTTTGCTTCCTCAGGAAGGTGACGAGGTTTCAAGCCCCTGTTGCATGTCAGGTGGTCTGGCCACAGTGGGAGCTGGTGGCACTAGTGACTGGGACATTTCAGTTCTAGATGGATCAGGGAAGTTGCATCCCCCCCATCTCCCCCACTGGCTTTCCCACCGCAGCCTGTTTCCCCACCCCCCCACCTGCAGGTGTAGCTGCTGCTGTTTCTCCTGATGCAGCCATTGAGAGCCACAATGTTCTCCCCTCAGGGTGCCCTTTGGTTTGTTGCTTGTGGCTACTCAGCCAGGTGAGACAGCTACATACCATCGTCTCAACACCTTCCCCAAGACCTGGACTAACTGTGGCATCAGACATAATTGGGGTTTGAATCCTGACTCTGCAGCATCCACACAAAAGTGACTTAACTTGGCCGGGTGCAGTGGCTCACGCCTGTAATCCCAGCACTTAGGTGGGTGGATCACGAGGTCAGGAGATCGAGACTATCCTGGCTAACACGGTGAAACCCCGTCTCTACTAAAAATACAAAAACAAAATTAGCTGGGTGAGGTGGCGGGCGCCTGTAGTCCCAGCTACTCGGGAGACTGAGGCAGGAGAATGGCGTGAACCTGGGAGGCGGAGCTTGCAGTGAGCTGAGATGGCATCACTGCACTCCAGCCTGGGCGACAGAGAAAGACTCCGTCTCAAAAAAAAAAAAAGAAAAGAGTAACTTTTCTGATTGTCAATTTTCTTGCCCATAAAAGGAGGAAAAATACATTTTAACCCGTAGAGTTGTTTCAGAGATGAAACAAAGTGACATATGAGGTATACTTAATATGCCAGTCAACACTGGTTGAGGGTGTATCCTGCACTGGTCACTATTTGAAGCTCTTCTGAGCACTGTGTGAACTCATTCAGTCTCCTCTAATGACCCTCGCAGGTAGGTAACATTATTATTATCTCCATTCTTAACATTTTCGAAAAACAGTCGTATTGAGACAAATTAACATACTATACAATTCACCCATTGAAAGTGTACAATCCATTGCTTCTTGGCATATTAATTTTTCTAAATTGTGGAAAAATATATAATATAAAATGTATCATTTTCACCATTTCAGCTGTATGACCCCGTGATGTGAATTATATTCATAGAGTTGTGCAGCCATCACCACTATCAACTTCCAGACCGTTTTCATCCCTCCTAAGTAGAAACTCTGTGCCATGTTATGCCCATTCTACAGATGAGAAAACCGAGGCACAGAAAGATGAGGAAACTTGTTCGAGGTTATGCAACCAGTATGTGGCAGAGCCCAGGTGTGAGCTCTCGTCATTTGGCTCAGAGCTGGTGAATTCACCCGCACGAGGAGCTGGGTATTCCGTAACCTCTGACTGAGGACCCATTCCGTGCCATGTTCTTTCCTTTGGCCATTGTAACAAGGCTGCAAGACAGACGATTGCTGTTCCCATTTTGCAGCTCAGGAAACCGAGGCTCAGGGAAGTTAGACAACTTTCTCAGGGTCACAACCATGGTGTGCAACAGAGCCAGGCTTTGACCCCGGGGTCTCACTAACCCCAGAGTTCACAGGCTCAGCAGAGTCGCAGAGCTTTCCTGGTGTCCAGCCTAGAGGTGGTGTCGCACAGTAGGTGCGTGGAGTGCGAGCTGAGCTGCCCTTCGAGATGCAGCTCTGAGGGAAGTCTAGGTCCCGGAGCCTCCAGCGGGTCCTGCAGATAAAGGAAAGTTCTCCAGTCAGCCCCAGAGGAACGCTGATCCCAAGGCAGGCCCCGAGGATCCTGTTCGGGGCCTCCCTGCTGCAAAGGAGTCCTGGACCTCCGAGGTTCATGGAATTCTGCAGAGGAAGGCCTGATATGAAGTGAAAGTCACGAGGAGCCCTTTTAAACCACCTCACACGTATTTCTTCAGGACTTCAAAGTGCCTCGCCGGGAGGAAACCATAGGGGTGTGCCTGAAACTGGTAAAGTAGCCGGCAGGATTGGATGTGTGCACTGATTGCCAGGGTGGAGGCGGGGGTTGTAAAAGAGAGAAAGATTATACCCAGGCCTAGGAATGATAAAAGGTCTTAAGCAATGACAGGGATTTAAAAAGAGGCGACTGACAGGTCGGCTGGTATGCCTGGAGGCGGTGAGTGTGGAGAGTAGCAAGTTGTCCGGAATGAGGCTGGGAAGGTGAACCTGGAGGCCCTCCCTGAGGCCGGACTGTGGGAGGAGCGGTGGGCAGGACCTTGAACATGACCCTGCGAGGCGAGGCGGGCCGGGAGGGGGCGTGGCATGGTGCGGCAGTGGGCGGGTTTTGGCTGGGGCGGGGCATAGTTACGGCTGTGGGCGGGGTGTCGCCTGGCCCCGCCCGCAGGTTCCACCCCGCTGGTTGCACCCCCCTCCCTGGAGCTCTGGCTGCGTGCTGGGTCCCAGAAGAGGAACCTGCTGCAGGCGCCGGCGCGGGCGGCGAGGACAACCTGTTTTTCTGACCCAGCCCGGAAGCGCTGGTGCAGGTGGTCTCTGAATGAGGGTTCCTCTTTGCCTGTGATGTCTGGAAGGGGAATTCAGCAAGAGGGACTCCAGTCTGGAGCTCTGACCCCAACTTCCTCAATCCAGGCCCTCAAAGAGGGCGGCCTGTGTCACCAGGCGCCGGGTTCCCTGGGGGTGCCCGGGGTTGGGGCGGCACATTCCCACCTGGAGTGTCCTAGTACCTGGCTCTGAGGGACCCACAGGGTCACACTCTCTCTCTGAACCTTTCCCTCCCCTGCACCCCCGCTCATGCCCCAGGCCCTCTGCTGCTTAAGCCATGGCCCTGGGTCTGTATCCTGACCTGGGCTGCTCATTGTTCCGCACTGGGTAGTTTAATTACAGCTTTATGTGCGCTTATCTGGTCTATGAGCTCCTGACCATGATCGCAGGGACCCTAGCACAGGGCCCCGGGGCTTACTGAGAGATCAGTAATGTTCATGAATGGTGGGTGTGGCTGTGTAGGATGCCGGTCTCCTCCCGCAGGGCAGGAGCAGCCTCGCCCCACCTGACCGGGCCTGGGACCAACAGCTCAGTTGCTCTCCTGGAAGGAAAGGGGTGCCTCCTTCCACCCGGGGGTCTGAGCTGCTTCTCTCCTCTTAGGCCCTGTGCTGCAAGGTGCGCATACCTCCAGTCCACACCTCAGGAGTCCTTCCCGTGTCCTCTGGGAGTTCCCGCCCATGCTGGTTGAGGCCCCAGGTCTCCCTGGGAGCAGTCCCATAGAGGGAAGCTGGTGGAGGAAGGGGCAGGGATGCTGGCTGAGGAAAGGCCCTCTTTCCTACAATGACTGTACCCCAGGAAGCCCCAAGTGCGTGTTCCCTAAGCCAAGGCAGTGCTGGCTGTAGTTTCTCTGGGCTTCTGGGCTGGTGCATCTGCCCCTGCCTTCAGAACGGGCCCCTGTGCACGTCTGGCATCTGTGATTGGGGTCAGCGCCTGTTTCTGAGAAATGTGAAAAAAGCAGCTTCTTTGATTTCCAACCATTCCTAGAAAATGGCCTAAATTTGCTGGAAGAGTGGGGACAGAGGGTCTCAGTTTCTCAGGTGAAGCTTGCAGGCCATTGTCTTCAGCACCCAGCATGTGTTGAGGCCTGTGAGGGTCTTGAGGGGCTTCTTGAGGAACTCTGGGCATGGGGTTTTTAGCCGAGGCTGAAAGTGGAGTTCCCAGGCTGCTGTGCTGAGTCCCAGCTCCCTACAGCCTCCTGGGTTTGGCCACGTCCACCCGTCCTCCTCCTCTTTCCTGCAATTGTGCCTCTTTTCCCTGCTGCCTCCTCAGCCAAGCCCAGGGCAGGACTTAAAGGGCAGTGGAGGGGGTAAGGCGCTGGTGGCCTTGATGCCTCTAGGCAGCCGCCTGTTCTCCGGGCTCTGGGCCTGGGTACCCAGGGAGGATGAGTGTCAGTGGGGTGATTTTGTATCAGAAGGAACAGACTGCTCCAGATCCCTTTTCTGGATGTTAGGACTTGGGGCAAAAGAGATGGGCCCATCTCATGAGTTTAGTGCCTGGAGCTTGCTTTAGTGCTAAAGCAAGAAGTAAAAACAGGATTTAAAGAAACCAAATGGAATCACAGTCATGGAGTATCAGACCTGGATGATGCCTTGGTGATGAGGTGGCCCCCTTCCCTTGGCAGACCAGTGGAAGAAACTGAAGCTCTGAGGAATTCAGGGATGTGCTGGTGGTTCCAGAACTAGGCCTGTAACTTTTTCCAGGGTTCAATGCTATGCTCGAAACAGTGGAAGGATCCCGCAGCATGGCACAGAGCCCCTTCAGAGCTCAGCAATCTCGAGCTTAGCAACTGAGTAGGCCCTGGAAGCCAGAGGGCTGCCTTCCGTCTTCCCAGAGATCTCAGGACCCGTGCTGCTGAGGTGGTTCACTTGAAGGGTGTGTCCACAGTGGTCACAAGTTAGCACTGGGGCCCTGTGCCCTGGCTCCCGCATCTCCACGTCTGGCCTCCCTCGGCCCCTCCCTTTCCTCAGTGGCCTTGGCCTTGGCTTATCAGTGTCTCTGCCAGGATGTCCTCATCCTAGAGGGTGAGCTGATAAGGCAGTCTCATAGGATGCAGGGTTGGAAGGTGCCTCAGGGACACTTCAGCTGAGCCCTCTGGGAAAACTCCAACCCCTGCAGGAGGTGGCGGGTGGAGGGGCCCAGGCGGCACTCAGGCTCTGGGGAGTTAGTTTCTGTGTTTGTCCTCCCCATGGGCTGCACCCTCCTCAGCACAGGGGCGGCAGCTTCCACACCTAGCACCGTGCCGGCCTTGCTGGACACTCAAGAGAGGTGAGTTCCCTCCTGCTGGCCGCCTCTGCCGCTGTCTCACCAGCCTGGGTGCTGGGTGGTGGCCGCACTCCTGGTGTGCTGCCTGCCTGCTTGCAGGAAGTCCTGGTGCCAGCGCACCCTTTGCTTGACGAGCTAGTGAGCTCCCTGCGGGGGGTTTTCCTAACACTCTCTCCCCACATCCTCTCCTGCTCCTCCCAGCTTCCAGATCATGGAGGATGTCCCCAGCTGCTGACTTGTACGCAGTGGCACTGCAATTTCCAGAAGAAACCTGACCTGAAGAATGTATCCACCCAGGCATCTGCCCCTCCCACCCCACTGAGAGTCCCTGTCCTCACTGAAGCCGGCCTCCTGAGGCCCTTTTCCTCACTGCCATGGCCCTTGGGAGCTCTTCCTTTTCCCTTCCCAAGGAGGAACCCCTCAAGCCCCATGTCGGTGACCCCGGGGCAGCTTGGTGTTTCCTGCCTCAGCAGCTCTGCCCACCTCCAGTCTGTCAGCAGATTCTCCCTTGCTAGTCTGGCCTGTCACTCCAGCCACGGCAGGCACAGCTGCCCACATATTTGCTTCTGTGTCACCTGCAATCTTGTCATGGAAAGAAAGGTTGTAAAGACGTTCTCATCTGCTCCATTCTCATGCTTAAAGGGCAGGAAGGACCGTGGGACCTCCCCTCAGGGTCAGGGCCTGATAGGACACAGTCACCAAAGGGGTCCCCAAGGGAGCTTCCTGAAAAATGCCTGATTATCACATGGTCACAGAACAACATAACCTATAATGGTATCATTCCATATACTACTCATTGCATGTACTAATTTCCTATTTTGTCTTATGGAAAATATTTGACAATGCCTCTAGGGGAACATTCGAGCATGCATTGGGGGTGGTGCTGGCGCACGCCTGCTGGAGTGATCTGTGCGAAGCTGCACGCTCACCCTTTCCCCCACCTACCCCACTTCCCTGAATGCTGAGACTCATTTAAAGTCACAACAATTTTTTTTAAGTCTCCTTTGCTGAGTAGCAGAGTTTCGCCTTCCAAGCATGGATGATCGATTCAGGAGTTCAACTGTTCGTTCATTAAATAAGCCAGATTTATTGAGCACCTACTCTGCGCCAGGTGCAATGCTAGATAGGCTGTGGGATACAACAGTAAACGAGACTGGCACAGCCCAGTCCTCATGCAATTGTGAGTCCGTTGGTTTGAGTCCTAATTCTGCCATTTGCTCTATAACCCTGCGCAAGCCATTTTATCTTTCTGAACTTTAGTACTTTTATCTATAAAATGAAGATTGGAATTCTTGCCTCACTGAGTTTTCCTGGTACATAGTTGGCGCTCAATAAATGGCAGCTATTCTTTTTACTATTTTCCAAGCCTTGAGCTTTCTTTTTTCTTCTCGCTGTGGAAATTGTCTGGTAAGCTACAAACTGTTGGTTCTTGAATGGGCTGGCTGCCCCAGATGTCCGAATCCCTTGGAAGGAACCTGGAGGAGTTGGCTGATGGGCTCCAGGTACATGCCAGGCTGTGGGCCGTGCTGAGCTTCCTAGTGACCTAGTCTGAGCTGCAGCTATATTCTGTTCTAATTTCTGTCTCTATATTCTTTGTAATTGGGCCACTCTCTTAGACAGCTGGAGCAATTAATGACCTTGAGAAATGATCCCAGCCCTGAATGCAGAATCCTGCTCTTTTGAAGTCAGTCACTTTCTTTGTGGGTCTAAACGTGTTCGTGTTTTCCCCTCTTGGGCATGTGCCGCCTCCTTCAGCTTTGATGCTGCCTCTGTAACAACAGGGTTTAGAATTATTAATTCCTCTGCACAGCAAGGTGCAGTTTTATTACACAAAAAGGGGGAAATATAATTGCTATCTTGAGTCATCATTTTCCGAAGGCTGAAAAGTGTAACCTTTAATTAATATTTCATCTACAGCCAGGGTGGGTAACTTCAACAGGGCCTAAAAATACTCCTGTCCCAGTGCATGGAGAGATCATGAACTGTGCGACATGGAGCCAGTGTGTGCTATTCAATTGTTGGCAATTATTTCTAAAATTAAAATGTTTAACCCATTAACCCGTAATAAACTAGGGGGAGAGCTTTGGAGATGCAACTCTTTATTGAGTAGGATAAATGTGCAAATTCCTGGCATAATTTGTCTCAGCCACCTGCATTGGAGGAGCCATCTCACCTGCCTGATAAATAAATTTGGGGCGCAGGGGCCTGGTGGGCCAGGAAGTCACTGATCAAAGCTTGGCTTCCAGGCTGTGGCTGTGTCCACCAGGCACTGTGCAGGCTGGACTTGGACTTCTACAGGTCACTGGGTTTAAGGGTGGGATGGGAAGCACTGTCTTTGGTGTTTTCCAGAGCGGGGCACTCGAGATGTTCAAAGTGCTTCCTGAGAGAGGGCCAAAGGGTGTTCCCTGGGAGACCTGGGAATCCAAGAGACATGTACTCTGGGGGCAGGAAGAGGGCAGGTGAGGACCTGGCTCAGGGTCTGGCAGGAGAGGGAAGGAGGGAGCCAGTCAAGGGCAGGAGGAAACAGAGTTGCGAATCATTTGGTGACCAACAGTGATTCTGGGTGACTTCCATCCCAGTCTTAGGGATTCCTCTGGATAGGATCATAGGGCTGACTCTGGCGAACGTACAAAAGTCCTTAGTCATACGCGTGTACATCAGCACAGCTTTTCATGGTACACGCATCATCTCACTGACAGGTGCTACCCGATCACACTAACAGCCCTCTGGAACCCGTGACCATGTGTTCACAACAGCAGCCATTACAGGGGTTTCCTGAGTTCTTGTCGTGAGCCTCTGTCTGCTCCATCTCATCGATCCTCCCAGCAACCCACAAGGAAGGAGAGGTTTCTTTACAGATGAGGAAACTGGGGTGTTGGGCTAAAGTTGTTGATTTGCCAGAGTCCCACAGCACTAGGTGAGTTGGGACAAGAACTCAGTGCAGAATGGTCTGGGTTTGGGGACCCCTGTGGGGCACATGTGTGAGGCTTGCTGCTGTGATGTACTCGCTGGCCCTTCTGGATCTCTCTTGGCGTCCCTGGGAGTCCTCGCCCAAACCAAGGACCCATCCGTGTAAGAGGACAAATCGCTTTATCAACACCGTTGAGATGATTGAAAATCCTCCTGCTGGTAGGACCCTGAAGTTGCTGTGTTTCTGTGTTGGGCTTGTTGAGTCTCTCTTGAAAATAATATTGGCTAATGGGTTTATTGCCATTTTATTGATCACCAAGGGGATGGTCTCAATGGTTAACCATCTTGAGATTTCTAGACATGTTTGCCAGCCCTGGTGTCCTCAGGAATGCCCTCAGCAGGGAGAAAGGCTGCTGGGTGTGTAAATGGCCACCCCTTCCTCCCCCACTACCTGCCCCTCAAGACGTGGGAGGCTGGAGAGGAGCAATTAATTTGATTTTTTTTTTCTCTTTGGAGAGAAGAGTGCTCTGTGCCATGTACCAGGAAGCAGGGAAGGACAGGTGTGCTGACCACAGCTCATCCGCAATTCTCATGCTTTAGCTCACTTGATCTCACAGCAGCCCTGCTGGCCGGTGTTCCTATCTCTCCCATTTTATACTAGGAGAAACTGAGTCCTTCAAGATGGGGCACAAGCCAGGGCACTCTGGTCAGTACGGAGAGCCAGGATTGGGAGTCTGGGGGAGCTGACCTCCAGGACAGGGAGTGGCTCTTGGTCCCTCCGACCAACACTGGGACCTTGCTCTCCTCACTGTGTTTTTGTGGCCTGCTTCTACCTGCTCCAATCCAGCTCATAAAACCACTTCTAAGAGGTTTAACAAGAGTCACTTCATTTTATTTTTCTCCCTTACTCATTCCTTTTTAAAAATTATAAAGCAATACTTGCTTACAAAACGTTTAAGGAGTTTTCTTCCCTAATCATCTCTCAGAAGTAACCACGATTAATAACTTGGTGTATAGTGTTCTTCTATGCAAATAGGAATCTTTAAAGATATGTAGAGATATCTATACACATGTGACTTTTTATTGATGAGCACATATAAGCATATATGTCACAGCAACGTTTGTAAAGGTCAAAGACTGGAAATACATGTCCCTCAAAAGGGATTCAGTAGAATAGATTATGATGCAGACATTTAATAGAATTATTGTTTGGTCATTAAGAAAATGAGGTAGCTCTCTGTACAGATGTGAGAACTCCTTACAACACATCGTTAAATAAAACATTGTATGCACATTGTCAGCTCACTTAATTTCCATCACAGCTTCACACAGAGGCAGATGCCACACGAGCCACGCACCCAGACGCAGAGCCAGATTCCCTGCATGGACTGGACGGGAGTTTCCCAGCTGGAGTTCTCTGGGCCCAGCTGCCTGTGACATGGGGTTGGGGGTGCTCCAGAAAGTTATGGCCACCTCTGGAGGAAGTGACTTGTGGCTGACTGCTCAAGGGGAAGTCCTGCGGCGGTGGAGTTGTCAGCATTCATTCAAATAAGGTAAGTGCTTCGGCAGGGACGAGGGAGGGGCTGAAAGGCTGGGGGTGACTGCGATGACCTCAAGCTTGAACTGAAACCTTTGGAAGGGCATTGTATTCGAACTGTTTAGATGATTGCACGGAATCATCTCATTTTTACATCAGCAGAAGCCTAGGCTCAGAGAGGTGAAGTGATTTTGTCTGAGGTCACACAGCACGGTAGTGATTGGGCTGGGTCTGAGGGCCTCTCTGGGGGTGCATCTGAAGTCTCTGTGCCTCAGGGAAGCGGGAGGAGTGGAGACTGGGGCTGTGGCCAGGCTCTTCCTAGCCTTCCTAGGTGTCTATCTCCTCTTCAGTGTCATCTCAACTTTCCTTTCCCTCTGTTTCTTCCTCCTCTGCCTACAACACTCTTAGTTTGTTCTAAATGTCCCCTTGTCAGAGCTGAGGAACTTGAGGTGACATGCTGAAGACCCTGGGTGAGGATCCTGGTTTGACGCATTTTTCTTGGAACCCTTGGATGTTCCTGGGGTGTAAGTGTGTGTAGGGTGTGAGTGTGTTGTATGTGTGCCCATGTGTGCTTTGTGTGTGTGGTTTGGTTCTGTGGTACGTGAATGTGTGTGCATGCACATGTGTGGTGTGAGTGTATGGAGTGTGTGCACAATGAGTATGGTGTGTGTGCATGCATGTGTAGTGTGCACGTATGTGTGTGAATGTGCGGTATGTGCATCTGTGCACATGTGCAGGGTGTAGCTGGTGTGTGCTCACTTGTTTGTGATGTGTGCATATGTGCACATGTGTTCATGCATGTGTGTACTTGTGTGGTGTATGCCTGTGTGTGCCCATGCATGCATGTGTGTGCATATGTGTGTGCAAGAGGAAACATGGTGACTTTGCCACAGCAGTGTTTAGCTGACCCCAGTGCAGGAGCTGCCCTTACCGTCTGTGTCCCCCTTTTCGGCAACCCCAGCGGGAGTTCTGCCTCATGCCATACGCGGGTCCAGTCCTGCAGAGCCTGGACTCTGGGTTAAGAGAGGTAAGCGCTCAGAAATAGTAAACCACTGTTTTCTTGCCGGCTGTTTGCCCTTATTAATTCAGGTAGCAATTACCCATTCTGAATATTTGGCAACTAATTAGTTTTCCCATGGAGATGGCAGAATGAGGAATGCTCTGCTTTGACCTGATCCACTTTCTCAGTTCCCGGGGGTGGGGGTAGGGGCCTGGAAGAGGGAGGGCGTGGAGCGCAGAAGTGAGAGCTACAGAGAAGTCTGCTCAAAGCCCGAGATGCCCTTTAGCTGCCGGGGTCTTGGCTACAAATCTTTAGGAGGATAAAAATAACCCACCCGATGTTGGTTTTGTTGGGGCTTTCATGTCACGGGCCCATTTCCTCTGTGGGTGCAGCTCCTGGCAGTGTGCCGGGTAACGGAGGAGGTGCTGTCAGCCCAGACTCAGGGCTGCTTTCCAACCAAAGCACCTCCTTTTTGGGAACCCTGATTTGGACTCGGGATCCATAGGAGACTGGAACCTGGACCGCAGGGACCCGATGCTCAGGGCGAGGGCACCCCTCAGACCCCAAGAGACTGGGGCCTGTGGAACACACAATCCGGGGGACAGGTTGGAAGAGACACTCAGATGACCGTCTGGCCAAGCTCAGCTGATCGTTTCTTATCAGCCGCTAAGCCCCTTGGCCAACATCTGGCCTATATTTGCCTTTTTAGCTCCTGAGCTTTCTGTTACTGGGAAGAGTTGTCAGTGACATGATCTGGTTCCCAGAGGCACCTCTGAGAAAGGGTTCTTACAGATAGGAGGGTGCATGGATCAAGGCCAGCTCCATCCAGCAGCCTCCTGCATTGGAACAGCCCTCGGGCGGGAATCTATTTTGGGGACGTGGTAGAAGGATGAGTCAATCCATTACACTGCTTGCTATACCTTTTCTGGTGGCGGTGAGGGGGCTCAGACTACTGTGGGGAGTGGATGCAGTTCAGGGCGCCATAGACCAGCCCGCTGGTGGGGGAAGCTGCCTCCAGACGCCTCCCCGCACACTGTGTCCGCAGGGACGCAGCCTGTGAGTCACAGGCCTGCCTTCTGCCCCGCATGGTCATGCATTTGTGTCTGTGAAAGGTGCTCTTTGCCTGATGGGGGCTGGGAGGCCTCCAGGCCGATGTCCCTACCCATAGCCTTGTCTTAGCTGTGGGCAAGACCGGCTGCCCGCTTTCCTCCTTGGACACAGGTCCTCTTCAGAACCTGGGGTGGGCATCAGCATTCTCAGACTGGCACCGGCTGGCTGCATGCCCCCTCCCGCTTCTGTGTCCCTGACACTCAGCACGCGCCGGTCCGTCTGCACACGGCTGGGGCCGGCTCCAGTCAGCTGCACACAGTTTGCCCAGCTCACCTGCTTATTATAATTCAAGGCCAGGGCCCTGCCTCCTGTGTGTCTGGGGTTTCCCCAGGGCCTAGCGTTTGCTCTGGCTACCGGCCCTGGCCGGTGGCTGATGCCGGGTCACATGTTCAGGCTGGTTTCCCTAAACTGCGGCAGCTGCAGTTCCTGTACAGATAGGCTCAGCGAAAGTGCCAGAGCCTTGGGTTCAGACCTGGCTGAGTCCTGGTTCTGCCAGTTGTGTGTGACTTTGGGCAAATTCTTTCAGCTCCAGAAGCCTCGCTTTCCTGGTGATTGCTGTATTTTTGGGGTAGACTACACGCATATTTGTCATTAGAGCCACATGCTCCAGTCCCCAGCGATGTGAAGGGGCTTCAGGGAAGAGAGTGTGCGGAGGTGACCTTTGTAGTTTGCAGCTGGACGAGTGGCCTTGGGCCTCCTTACTCCCTCACGTGTCTGTGGGGTGAGCAGGCGTCACTCCTTCCTGCCTGGAGCTGAGAGAGTTCTGCTTCGGCTGGGAATGACCGGCTTAGAGCTGAGGTCGGGGTGACACCCAGGTGTTTTCCAGGTCACCCAAGGGACAGGGTTGAAACAAGCGCCATCATAGAATTCCCAGGCTGGGACGTGAAGTGGCTTTGAGGCGCAGACCAGCTGTCTTGCGACCTAGGCCTCCGCTTGCTTCCTCCAGGCCACACCTGACCTCGGCCTAGGAGTGAGCTCAAAGCTGCACACACAATCCCTTCAGCTGGCTTGGGAAATGCAAAAACACCAGGTGCAGGGCTGTCGGTTAGAGTTTCCATTTACATTACCTGGGGCTTTTCTGTCCAGCTCACCCTTCCCCCACCGCCTTGCACAGACCTTCACCCCCACAAGCCCAGGGGGTGGCGGTTCTTCCCAGGCAGGTCACCTGTGGAATGTGAGCACCAGGCAGGCCTGGCCTCCTGCTGCAGGCAGGACACACAGCTTCTGCTGGGGACCTGGCTCTGGCTGGGGAATTTTGACCTGCAAAAGGCAGACAGCCATGGAGGCCGGGATCCTTGGTCCAAACCCCTCATTACCTGGGTGGCCCTGGGCAAGTCAAACCACCTCCGATTTCTCCACCGCACATGGGGATACGAGTACTTCCTTGGAGGCTAGTGGTGGGGGTTAAATAAGCAAAGGATAAGAGAGGGGCTGGAACGGTGGCGCTTGACAGTGGTGGCTGATATAATCATCAGCCCAGCGTTCAGTGCAGGCTCTCTGCCTCTGGCTTTGCGGAGTTGGCACAAGTATCACCTCATGGAAATGGCACAACACACTCATGATGTAGACATTATTCTTCCTGTTCTTTCCATTTTGCCAGTGAGGAAACTGAGGCGCAGAGAAGTGAAATAACATGCCCAACCCGACGTTGGAATCTGGGCGTGCTGACTTCCAGAACTGTGCTGATGGACTCTGGGCGTGCTGACTTCCAGCACTGTGCTGAAGCTGTTCCTCTCCCTCTGCTCCCTCAGTGGCCCTGGACGCCCGTGTGGGTCCCAGGCAGCTGGCATGACCCGCACGCAGAGCCTCGCTGTGGTTAGCATCGAGCCCTGGGGAGGCCAGCTCCAGACCCCGCTGCTCTATTTGCAGGTGGGCTGGGGCGGGGGAGGTTGGCGGGGGGGGGGGTGTGGGCTCCCAAGCCAGATACACCTGGCTGTGCTTCCCAGCTGTGACATTTACAACTGAGGATTTTGATTTTTGTCACTAGTAAGGGTACGGTCAAGAGAAGCCACTGTGCTTAGGCTGTTAGCTTCCCATCCTTGGGCGTACCCAGGTTCCCCCGCTGTGAGCCTGGTTTCCTTCTACGCTTTCTTCGTTCAACAAACCTTTCTGGGAAGCTTTTCCCTGTCAATCTCTGGACTAATGAGCAAGACTCAGTCCTCACGCGTCTGTGGAGGGTGTGTGTGAGCGTATGTGTGTGCATGTATTTTGTGTGCATATGTGTTGCATGTGTGTGATATGTAATTCCAAAGACATAGGAGTAAAATAAGAACCATCCACAAAGGTCAGAGGAGGGAAGCAGCAAGGCGCTTCCCAGCAGTCCTTGAGTGCAGACACTCAGGAAATGTTTGTGGAATGAACAGGAGGAAATCAAAGGAGGCTTCCTAGAGGAGGTGGCATTTAAGCGGAGGCTCACAGCGTGAGTCCTGTTTTGATTACAGAGAGAGAGGCCGCTGTAGGAGCCAGGCTTAAAGACATGGAAATGCGGAGCCAGAGGCAGACAGCTCCCAAACTGCAGTCTAGCCAGGGGTCCAAGAGGCCTTGTTTTGTCACAGGCTGTGTGTTGGGGTTGGGGAGCAGCACAGGGTGAGTGAGTTCCTGGAGGAAAGTAATAAGGACCCATCTGTTTGTTCAACAAACATTTACTCGCTATGCACCCGGCCTAGTCTGCAGCTCAGTGAAGACCAGGATGAGGCTGTTGACGGAGCTGGCAGACTCGTGGAGGTGACTGACCCTGGAGCCACTTGGGGCCCCCACAGTGTCCCCGTGCTGGGGTGGGACTTCCGCAAGGCCCTGGGGGCCCTGAGCAGGGAGGGGAGACGGGAGGAGGAGGACCATCCACGAGGGGTCAGGAAGGAGGGCACCACGCGGCTGGGCGTCCAGGTTATGCGGGTGCTGCTGGGAGAGGTGAGGGAGGCCATGTGCACAATCTGTGGGGCCTCGATGTGGGGAGGAGAGTCTGTCGGCGTGGGGCAGCTGCTGGCAGATGGCAGAGGCTGGGCACTTGCCTTTTAGGGCAGCGGTGCTCATGGCGCATTGAGCTCAAGTTACCTGGGGAAAGTGCAGATTCCGGGTCCTACCCCCCTGAGACGGAGTCAGTGGGGGCCTGGGGATGTGGATTTTAGTTTTGTGGGTGTGTTTTTGGCACCCTAGGGAATTCTGATGTTGGTTATTTGCTTAGTAGCCTGGGCAACAAGAGCAAAACTCCATCTCAAAACAAGGAATACCTCTTTAGAAGCACTTCAGGCATCAAAGCTAGAAATTCTCTGAAGTCCATGATGCTGTTGCTTCTGCCTAGAACCCAGAGGCCCCAGGTAGGAGACATGCAGGAGCATCACCGCAAACCTGGAGTTCCCACCTTTGTCAGTCTGCAGCCACCGCTTACTTCCTTTCAGGTCACTCCATTTCTTGTATTTCATCACCTCTCTCCTCATTCAAGAAAAGAGTTTCTGATGGCTTATAAAAATACCACAATATATGAACATGGCATAAATTAACAATGGGGTAAAAAGATGACAAAACAAAGGAGGGGTTGATGCAGATGGGGAAAAGCAAGACTGCTGCCTTGGCTGTCATTTCCTGTCCAGCTGCTGTCATTTCTTTTGGGGCATCTGGCTACTTTGTGGGCTGTGTGAAGGACTTGGGGTCAAGCTGCCAGGGCTCCTTCCCCGGCAGAAAACCTCGCATCTCTATAGAAACTACAGCTACCAAATCCACACTTGATTTGTTGAATGAAACGCTGTGCTTCTTAGTATGGGAGCAACGTCGAGGAAGTCTTGTCTGGCGACAGGAAGGGCTGTGTGCCCAATGTCGCCAGCGGGGTTTTGTGCCTGTGAATGCAGGCCCTGCGCTTGCTCGCTAAGCCACCCCTGAATGGTCAGCACCGGCTGCAGGACCAGTTGGCCTCTGTGCCTGACCCAAGGTTCCCAGGCCCTGGGGTCCCCAGGTGCCAAGTCATCGCAGAAGGGGTTTTCCAGGGGCCTAAGGGGGCCCAGAGGCCACCATGTTTTAGGGTGTTTGGTGGAAGGGGACTCAACCCCATTATGGTTACTGTGTGGTCTTTGGTGGACAGAGATGTGTGCTTTAAGAAGAGCTTCAGAGCAGTGGACTCCACTGGGACGGAGGCAGCTGAGGTTCTGGAATCTCTGTCTTGTAGATCTCTCCCTGCACACAATCTGCTTTCGTGTTCCTGATGGATTGTATCAAGAGTCAATGAGCTCCTACTTTGTGAAAGCAAAACAAACTAAATGCTATCAACCACGACAGCAGAGCCTCCACCTTTCCCAGGAGGGTGAGCCCACGTTGTGTTTTCATTTGTCAGAAATTTATCTGAGGAAGCCATTCCTGAAATCTGTTCTCATTTAGGCCTTTTTTTTTTTTTTTTTTTTTTTTAAATAATGCAGTTGATTCTTTTCCCGTGAGTTCTTTTCTCCATGACTTAAATTTCCCCAGGAACTATTCAAATGCAGCATCTGGGGTTTTGTTTTTGTTTTTTGGTGAGGTCATGACTTTCTCTAAACAGTAATTATTAAACAAACCAAAGGGCAACCTTCTGTGAGGATGCTTTTACAAATATCGCCACTTTTACAATCAGGAATGGAGGTTACAAAGTGCAGGATTCTGAGTTCCAATAAATCTAGGGGAGTCGCCTGAGTCTTCCAGTTGGTTCCTGCCTCGTTCAGAAGATAGTTTCTCACATGGGAAATGGTCTTCAATGCCCTTCCCTCCTCTTCCTCTCTCCTAACTTGACTTTTCCAGGGCTTTCGTGTTTGGCTCCCATTGCAGGGTCGGGAATACCCTGGGCTTGGTGACCAGAGGGTGGTGAAGTCACCCTGCTCTGCTAGAAAAGGGATGAGTGCTGTGTTTTTGCCAGATGATCAAGGGCTCACCAGCCTGGTGGCTCATTTGCTGGGGGCCTGCAGGCTGCCAGGAGCACCATGAGGAGGACAGAGTGGAGTTGCAGCTGCCCACGTGCTGCAGAGGGGACACGGGGCGGGGGGTGTGCAGCATCTCAGGAAGGGCGCGGCGGGTGTGGCAGGTGCGTGGCGGGACCACGCCGTTCTGTCTGTTGTGGAACCCTCCATCCAGCATGAATTGAACAGAGAGGCAGGTATGGCAACTGAAAAGCAAGGGTGCTCCTAGGTGAGCACTGGGGCTAGTTTCCCGGCTGGCAATGGGTGGGGTGTGGTGGTCAGAGGAGTGGGGTTTGGGTTTGTGGCTGTGGCCTGGCTGCTGTGCTGGGAAAGGGTGATGGGAGCTTGACGGGAGGTGGCACCCACGTGGGAGAGGAGCTGGCATCATAGCCGTGCCCTCGGGGATTGGCTGCTTCACCACCCAGATTGGTGGGTTCTCCAGGGGGAGTGGTGAGTGGGAAAGTGCACTAGGAATAAAGCTCTTCCTTCCTCTCTGCCCTTCTCCTTCCCTTCTTTCCTTTCTCCCTCCCCACCACCCTCCTCTGTCTCCCTTTTGACCTCTCTCCTTCTCTACCCTTTTCACCCTCAAAGGGTGATCTGAGGGTCCCGGATGCTGGACTCATCTGGGGCTGGGTGTGCAGGGTGAAATATGATCCTGAGGACTTTCTGAATTGGGATCCCGGGAAGGGTTCCTGGGGGGCGCCCTGTTAATAGCACCTCTGTTGACACTGGATTGTGACAGCCACCGTTGGAAGGCACAGCGGCCTCTTCCCCTGAGTTAGAGAGTTACTGTGACTCCCCAGTCTCTGTCGAAGGCCATCTGTTACACGTTAGTGTCCTGTGAGATGAGCAGTGTATTGTCTGCTCCACCTTCTTGTCCTGTATTAGCCAGGGTTCTCCAGAGAACAGAACCAGCAACCTGTGTGTGTATATAGAGAGATTTATTTTAAGGATTTGACTTACATGATTATGGAGGCTGTTGAGTCCAACATCTGCAGGCTGGCCAGCAGGATGTGAATTGGGAAAGTTTGGGGCTGCAGTTCAAACCCAGAGGCCTGGCAGGATTCCTTCTTGCTCGGGGAAGGTTACTCTTTAGCCTCTTCAGGCCTTAACCTGATTGGGTGAGACCTACACACACGATGGAGGGTCACCTGCTTTACTCAAAGTCCCCTGATTTAAATATCAATCTCAGTCAAAGGCACCCTCACAGAAGCATCCAGAATAATGTTTAACCAAATATCTGGGAATAGTGACTCAGCCAGGTTGACGTATAAAATTAACCAACACAGCCCCTTCTGTCTTTCAAATATCCAGAGGGTTCTCTGGTTCTAGAAGACTGCCATAGGCAAGGTAGGGGTCTCAACCCTGTGGAACTACAGAAATGCATAAAGCCACATGAGTGAGCCGCAGTTCTTTCTGTCAATTAATCATTTGGCATAGAGTATCCATTTCGTGTCCATCATAGACAAGTGCAAGCCTTATATAATGTTACCAACATAGATCACACCTCCTCATCTTCCTTGATGTGAGTGTTTATTTTTCCATCAAACCTATCCGTCTACTTCCTCCCTCCCTCCCTTTTTGCTGTTATTCAATCCATACTATTGGGCATCGAGCATATTCCAGGCACCAGGCCAAGCACTGGGCAATCAGAAATGGAGAAGACACATCCACTAGCAACAGTGAGCCCACAGGCCAAGAGGGCTGCAGGTGCAGAAGTCAGTCCACAGAAGGTTGGGGCCAGCAGCCCGCCTTTCCCCTCTCTGAGCTTCCTTAGCAATGCCAGGTCTTAACACACAGCCCACAACAGTCCTGGATTGTCCTGGGGACACCACATCTTTGTACCTGATGTACCTGTTCTTCTGTACAGAGGCACCATGTCCCTTTTCTTCAAGGTGCAGCCGAGGTGCAGAGCAGCGGCATCATCTGCAGCTGGTTAGAATGCAGATGCTCAGGCCCCACCCAGACTCACGAGTCAAATCTGCGTTTTCACCAAATCCAGCAGGTGATTCCTGCATGTGTACATCTGCTCCCTGCTTCCCTGGTCTTCATCCCCTGCAATACGCAGAAATATGTCCATGGAGAATTCCAGAAGAGTTGGCAGCCTGGTCACAGGGCTGCTCTGCGAGGTTGGAACGTGTTCCTAAGCCACACGGGGAGGTCCCCAGGCACCCTCTTCTCAGGCTTACGGGAGGCAGCCTGGAAGCCACTGGTGAAATGTGAGCTGGGAGTGTAAGTCTCTGCGCCTCCGCTGACTTCTGGAGGCATCCCGGGGAGGTACGTCACTCTTCCAAGACTGCTTTCTCCTCTATAAACAGGGATGATGAAAAAGAAACATCTTTCTTTCTGGGTTGTTGGGAACACAAGCAGATCCACAGCACATGGAGGGCCTGCCCTGAGCCAGGTGTGGCTGTGCCCTCATGATAGGCAGAAGGCCGCACTGGAGGCAGCTAGAGCTTTGGGACTGGGCCCCTCATCACTGACACAGGGACAGTGCTTGCTGCACAGACTGTCCCAAGGACTAAGTGAAATTCTGTGAGCAAAACACCCTGAACCGTAGCTGTTATTTTTATAACAATTGGCTGATGTAACTGCCCTAGTGCAGTGCCAGCCCTTGACTCATACCCAGAGACAGGTGGCGGCAGGTGGAGGAAGGGACCATTGTTGGCTGAAGCAGTGTCTTCTAGATTGTTCGCAGAGGCACCATTCACCCCAGGGTACTCAGGCCTAGATTTCTGAGAGTCCGTAAGAAGGTGCAGAAGTTAATGTGCCATGTTGCTAAGTGGATTTCTTTTAAAAGGTGTTCTCTTCTAAGGTAGCGACAGATGTGAGGGTTGCTATGGCAACAGGTGTCTGTTTTGGAGAGCACCACACAATAGGTGAGATGACTTACCAACAATTTATGGTCACGGAAGGTGAGCTTCCTCCCAGGAAATTTGAGTGAGGGATCACCTCCTCTGGGTTTATATTTTCAGAAGCTGGTTTTATTTTGTACCTTGGGAGATTGGGCAGGATGGGGAAGCCTTTGCATGGATTCAGAGCAGACTCCATGCACAGCATATGGTCAAAGGGTCAGAGTCTTTTCAAGAATTGAAGGAGATTAAAAAAGAACCTTGAAGAATTAGATGGTCTAAGATCCTCCGAGAACATTTCACTAGCCTGCGAATTTATTTGTAGCAAACAGCACTGCAATTTTGCAGGGTTAGGAGTAGAATCTGTAGTTGGCCACGACTTTATTCTTTCCATAGAACAAGTCTTCAGCGAATGCCTCCTGGGTACATTGAAGGTCATGTGCTGGGGGCGGGAGGACCAGGGTGGCATAGCAGGATATGAAGATGAATAAGACCTGGACTCTGCCCTTCAGAAGTCAGGGTGGGAGAGACAGACGGACACAGGCCGATTGTGGAGAGGCTTAAGCTGTTATGAACGTATAGCTGGGTGTAGTGGATGAGTTTGGAAAACTTGGCTGGGGATCATCCTCAGTGTGGGGTTGAGGAGTCTGAACTCTCTCCCACTGGAGACTTTTCTCCTGGGAATGAGGTGTGGTCAGCCAGGCCCATCGTGGTTAGCAGGTAAGGGCAGCATGGAAGGGAGAGGACAGGCAGGGGGCTGGAGGACTCTGTCAGGGTGAAAGGTGACGGATGGGCACCAGTCCTCAGCCCTGCATGCAAGACTGACCAGATCCCAGCCAACAGCCTGGGCTCTGCTGGTTCCTCAAAGCCCTGAGAGTTTGCTGTCTCTTCTGGGCCTGGGTCAGGCTGGAGAGGTGGTTCCCTGCAATTCCCCCAGAGGGCTTCCAATCCTAGCCAGAGGGGAAGGCCCTCAGTGAAGCTCCTGGGTCCCAAGTTCTGGGCCAAAGCCCTCCTGTGCATCTGCCGAGCACCGTTCTCGTCCCAGACATTCCTCTCCAGGTGGGTCCCTGGGCCCCAATCAGCTCGGGCCAGCATCAGATTCCCGGGCCCTGCTCTCTAACCAGGCTGGCCCATCCTCGCCTGGAGCCACTGCCCAGAGACCCAGCATGGCCGGTGGATGAACCCCAGGGATGTAAGCCTTACTGGACTGAGATAGGAGAGCCAGGAGTAGGAGCAGAGGAGGATGTGCCCAGAACCTGCTGGAAGCAGCCTTCATCCGCAGGAGCCCGCTGGAAGCTCTGCTGCAGCACCTGGCGACCTCCGGCGCAATAGCCACATGACTAGACACAAGCTGAACCCTGAGCCAGGCAGGGAGCCAGACGGGCACCTCGAGCTGTGGATCCCTCGAGTCGGGCACCTCGAGCCCTGCCTGGGGAGGGCACAGGCGAGAGTGCACAGGAGGCAGGGCCAGAGGAGCTCTTCCCACCGTGGATTCTGCAACCTTCTCTGCTTCCCGCCCGTCTGCACTTGGGTGCACCAGTGGAGAGCCAGCCCTGGGGAACCATGGAGTGCCGGTCTGTTCTGGGCAGGGCATAGTCTCAGCCTGCACCCTGCCTTCCCCAGCCATAAAGTGGAGATAAATTGTACCTGTTTGGGCTGCCTCAGGTGATTTAATGCAAAAGATTTGTAAGCTCTAACTAGGATTCCATTCCATGGAATTTGAAGGATGAAACAAAAACATTTATTTCGTTCCAGAACATAAAATTGATACATGTTTTCCGCATACAATTTGGAAAATACACACAAAAAAGAGAAGATAGAACAACCCATTATGGCAGCACTCAGCGCAAACGCCATTCATATTTTGTAATATTAGCTGCCACTCTCTTCTCTATGTGAGGACACACGTCTCTACCTTCTATTTCCTTTGGTCCAGATGGTATCATAGTTTATGCACAGCTTTGAAAACATTTCTTTTCCATTTAACAACATCTTAGAAACATGTTTTCTTATCAATAAACCTTCGAATGTAACATCATTCATGGCTGCCTGTAATTGCATCCTGCGTATGGATCCCACATTTTGTTCAGTGGGTCCCTTCAGTGCTCATTTAGGTCGCTTCCGAATTGTGTTACTGTGAGCAGTAGTGCAATGACGGGTTTTGCTGAGTACCTCTGCCTTTTGCACTGGACGGTTTTAATAGAAGTCTTAGTGTAGGCAGAGTTGTCATTCTAGGGAAATGCATGCCCAGCTCTCCCTGTCGGCTCAGGCCCGACCTGCCCATGCTTCATGCTGAGCACGTGCTGGTCTTTGTCCTGGCATTTTCCGGGCTCTGTGTCTTTGCTTTGATTTTTCTGTCTCTCCGTCTTAAATGTGGAAAAAGGCGCCCCTGCTTCTGAGAACAGAGAGAACCAAGTGACAGGCCATGAATTTCCTGGTGCACCAGTGAACGGCCACTTCGCTTGCTGTCCGTGAGCTGATCATGAAGCCTGATGGTTTTTAACCTGGGCCAAGGTGCGGGTTGTCCCTGCCATTGTCCTGTGATGCTTTCTTCTCCAACACCAGCACTGAGCTCGCCTTCTGGGGCTTGTCTCCAGCTTGTCTCTGAACTTGTCTTCCGGGTCTATCTATTCCCCAGCGCAGCTGGCCTCCTAGCCACCGATTTCCCGGTCGCAGATGCAAAGACCCCCCCTGAGGGTGGAGGCCCTCCCTGAAGGTGGCCCCACCCCAGCAATGCCATTTTCTACCCAGCATTCAGGACTCCTTGAAGCAGAATTGTAGGGTGCACGCTGGTGCCTTCGAGGGACAGCCTTGAGTCTTCCCCTGTGAGTGTCGTGTCCCCACCAGGCAGAGGGAAGGAACAGGAACCACTGTCCACTGGACATCTGTTAGGACCTAGGTCTCGCCTGGGCACTCACATGCTGACAAATAAGTGTTGGCCTCAGATTTGGCTGCCTTGTCACACTGTGGTCACACACGTGCCAGGTGGACCATATGATGATGTGTCAGCAATTTCTAACCCACAGATCTAGATTCAGCAGCCCCTCCCACAGGTTTGGGAGGCATGTCACCCAGCACACAGCTCAGCACAGACAGACTTGGTTTGGATGACAATAGTGGGAACCATCACACAGCCAGCTGCATGGGGCCAGCAGGCAAATTTCTCTAGTCCAGGGTCTGGACTGGCTATGCAGGCTCAGCCACATCTCAAATCCTGCTCTCTGGAGCAGACTCCCATTAACCCTGTGCGTAGTACTGATGTATATGCCAGATGTCAGCTTATTATTACTGTTGGTATTCTACCATTTTATTGAGGCCTGACTGACATGTGAAAGCTGTCCATATTTGATGTATACAACTTGATGAGTTTGGAGCTAGGCATGCCTCCATCAAACCATAACCATGATCTACACTGTCAGCATTTCCACTGTCTCCAAGAGTGTCCTCCCTTCTTTATTTATTGTATCATGTTAAATATTTTTTGTGACAAGGCCGAGTGCAGTGGTTCACGCCTGTAATCCCAGCACTTTGGGAGGCCGAGGTGGACGGATCACGAGGTCAGGAGATCGAGACCATCCTGGCTAACACAATGAAACCCCGTCTCTACTAAAAGTACAAAAAATTAGCTGGGTGTGGTGGTGGGTGCCTGTAGTCCCAGCTACTCGGGAGGGTGAGGCAAGAGAATGGCGTGAACCCAGGAGGCGGAGCTTGCTGTGAGGCGAGATTGCACCACTGCACTCCAGCCTGGGCAAACAGTGCAAGACTCCATCTCAAAAAAAAAAATTTTTTTTTGTGACAAGGACACTTAACATAGAGCTATACTTTTAGTGAACATTTAAGTAGACAGTAAATATTGATAATGTCATATGAAACAATATGCAATACTGAACGATATTGATAATGACAGGCACTAAAGTGTACAGTAGATCTTTAGGTCTTATCCGCCACGCATAACTGAAACTTCGTGCCCTTTGACCAACCCCTCCCTGTTTCCCCACCCCCCAGTCCCTGGCAACCAACATGTTACTTTCTGCTTTTAGGAGTTGGACTCTTTCATTCATAGATTTTTTTCTGCTTACTGAGGTATCATTGACAAATAAATATTGTATACATTTAAGGTATACAACATGATGTTTGATAAATATATACATTGTGCAAGGGTTACCACAATCGAATTTACTTATCCATCACCTTCTGTAGTTAACTTTTGTGTGTATGTGGAGAACACTTAGGGTCTACTTACTATCTTAGCAAATCTCACCTATACAATACATTAACTCTAGTCACCATGCTGTACATCAGATCTCTAGAACTTATTCATTCCACATAACTGAAACTTTGCATGCTTTGGCTAACGTCTCTGCATTTCCTTCTCCTTCCAGCACCTGGTAACCACCATTCCACTTTCTGCTTCATTTCTGGCTTATTGCACTTAGCATGATATCCTTCAGGTTCATCCGTGTTGTCCCAAATGATAGGATTTCCTTCCTTTGTAAGGATGAATAACATTCCCTGCTGTGCATGTGTGTGTTTATCACCTCTTCTTTCTCCATTTGTCCATCAGTGGACGCTGAGGTTGTTTCCGTGTCTCTGCCATTGTGAATAATGCTAGAGTGAACATGGGAGTACACATATCTCTTCAATACCCTGATTTCAAGTCCTTTGAATGTATATCCACAAGTGGGATAACTGGATCCTGTGGTATTTCCATTTTTAACTTTTTGAGGAACTTCCATACTGTTTTCCATAGAGGCTACACCAATTTGCCTTCCTGCCTACGGTAACAGGGATCTCTCTTTTCTACATCCTTGCCAACACAACTTTTTTTTTTTTTTTTTTTTTTTTTTGTAATAGCTGTCTTAACAGGTGTGAGGTGACATCACACTGTGGCTTTGCATTTCCCTGATTATTGGTGATGGTGGGCACTCTTTCATATACCTGTTGGTCATTTGTATATCCTCTTTGGAAAAATGTCTACTCAGATAATTTGCCTATTTTTAAATTGAGTTGTTTATTTATTTTGCTATTGAGCTGTAGGAGTTCCTTATATATTTTAGATATTAACCCCCATTATCAAATATATGGTTTGCAAATATTTTCTCCCATTTTCTTAGGTTGCTTTTTCATCTTGGTTATGGCTTCCTTTGTGGTGCAAAAGCCTTTCAGTTTGACATAATCCCACTTGTCTAATTTTGAGTCTTGCTCTATTTTTCTCGGTCTATAGTGTTAAGTCTGTTGTTTCCTCATTGATTTTCTGTCTGAGTGACCTATCTATTATTGATAGTATTGAATTATGCTGTTATTGTATTGTTGTCTGTTTCTTTCTTACGACCAACCTGGCCGACATGGTGAAATCCCACCTCTACTAAAAATACAAAAATTAGCCAGGTGTGGTGGCAGGCGCCTGTAATCCCAGCTACTTGGGAGGCTGAAGCAGGAGAATCGCTTGAACCCAGGAGGTGGAGGTTGCAGTGAGCTGAGATTGCGCCACCGTACTCCAGCCTGGGCGACAAGATCAAGACTTTGTCTCAAAAAAAAAAAAAAAATTTGTACATGTTTACTTTATAACTTTCGCTGCTATGATGTTGGGTATATATACATTTATAATTGCTGTATCTTCTTGTTGAATTGACCCTTTTATCATTATGTAATACCTTCTCTGTCCCTTATGACAGTTTTTGACTTAATGTCCATTTTGTGTCATATAAATATAGCTACCCCTGCTTTCTTTTGCTTACCATTTACATGGAATATCTTTTTTCCATCGCTTCACTTTCAGCTTCTGTATGTCGTTAAATCTAAAATGAATCTCCTATAGGTGGTATATAGTTGGATCTTGTTTATTATATTCATGTATTCAGACTACATCTTCTGATTAGTGATTTTAATCCATTTATATTAAAGTAATTATTTATAGCTAAGTACTTACTATGACCATTTTAAAAATTGTTTTCTGTTTTGTAGTTCTTTTGATTCCTTCTTTCTCTCATGTTGTGTATCTTGGTGATTTGATGATTTTTTTTGGTCATGGTATAGTATATTTATCTTTATTGTATCTACCATAGGTTTTTTTCTTGTGGTTATCATGAGGTTTGCATAACATTTTTTATATTTATAATAGTCTGGTTTAAGCTGATAACAACTTCAATTACATACAAATGCTGTACACTTTTACTGCTCCCCTCCTTCACTTTATGCTATTGATGTCAAAATTTAGTTTACATTGTGCATTCATTAATAAATGTTTATGGTTATAGCTATTCTTTAGACTTTTGTCTGTTATCTTTTAGACTTGGATTAAAAATGATTAAGCAGGCTGGACGTGGTGGCTCATGCCTGTAATCCCAGCACTTTGGGAGGCTGAGGCAGGCGGATCATGAGGTCAGGAGTTAGAGACCAGCCTGGCCAATATGGTGAAACCCTGCCTCTACTAAAAATACAAAAATTAGCTGGACGTGGTGGCACATGCCTGTAGTCCCAACTACTTGGGAGGCTGAGGCAGAAGAATCGCTTGAACCTGGGAGGCAGAGGTTGGAGTGAGCGGAGATTGCGCCACTGCACTCCAGCCTGGGAGACAGAGTGACATTCCATCTCAAAAAAAAAAAAAAAAGATTAAGCACCACAATTACAGTATTGCGTTATTCTGTATTTCCGTATTTATTTACATAGACCAGTGAGATTTATACTTCCGTGAGCTTCTGTGTTGCTGTTTAGTGTCCTTTCAATGTGAAGAAGGGTCTGTAGGATTTACTGCAAGGCAGGTCTAGTGGTGACAATCTCTCAGTTTCGTTTGGGAAAGCCTTTATCTTGCCTTCATTTTTAAAGGACAGTTTTTTTTTTTTTTTCGTTTTACTTTCAGCACTTTGGAAATGTCATAACACTTTCTCTCCTAGCCCACAGTTTCTGCTGGAAGTCTGCTGACAGTCTTGTGGAGGTTGACCTGTATGTGAAGAGTTGGCTTTCTCTTACTGTTTTCAAAATTCTCTTTGTCTTTGACTTTTGACAATTTACATACAGATAGTCCCTGACTTACAATGG